AATTATGAGTAATTTAATTTGATTATCATCAAATCCTCAGATTTCCTCAACCAGTAATTTACTCAGGCTGGGCCAACGACCCCCTGGGCCGGAAACATATCGTGGGCCGGCGGGTGGAAGCCCAAGCAGCCCAATAGGCCCTGTTTGTAGGGCAGAAAGGTCCTCCTCCTCATCTCCTCCGACAGCTGCCTGTTCGCCGTGTAGTGCAGCTCGTGGGTCGACACTCCCGGCCCGGCCCTCCTCCTGCTCGAGCCCGACCCGAAACTCGAATCCTTGGCGATGACGTCATCCCGACGGGGCCTTCCAAGCAGGCCCGGCCCCGCTGCCCGGCCCTCGGACGCGCTCCTGAACAGTAGCAGGTCCTTGATCCTCCACCGCCGGTGCCAGAAGGAGGAGAAGCCGGTCGCCGGGCCTTTATCGGGCTCGTGAGTCGGATCGGATTCGGGTTCGGGTTCAAAGAGCATGTCGGACACCCGGAAAGGCGACAGGGATCTGGAGATCTTTTTCCCTCGGCCCTTCTTTCTCTCGCCGGATTTCTGCCGGTCGCTGCCGTCCCAGCGAGTCTGTTCCATGGCGGCGGCGAAAGGGTCGAAGTCCCTTGACCGATTTTTCGGGGACAGGGCCTCCCGGATGAATTTCCCCGGCGAGCGGGGGGACCGCGGCGGCGGCGGCTGGGTCTCCGGCTGGTCGCTCTGGAGGCGCGGCGGGGGCTTGAGCGGCCTAATCCTGCCGCCGTCGAAGAGCTCGTCGGCGGGGAGGGGCTCCCGGAGCAGGTGGCCGCTAAAGTCGAAGGCGAATTCTCCGGCGGCGTCGAGAGCGTCTTCGGCGTCGCCGTAGGTGGAGGAGGCGGCGGAGGAGGGGGCGGTGGATTTGGGGACGCCGGGCTTCTCCTCCCAGCCGAAGGGGACGGCCGAGGCGGCGGCGGCGGAGGCGGCGGTGGAGCGGCGGTAGAAGGAGGGGCTGGAGGGAGCGCTGATGAAGGGGGAGGTGGAGGAGCTGTCGAAGTTGAAGAAGTCGGACGCCGGAGATGGGATGATGACTTCCACCTCCATTTTCAGTGTGTGTGAAATTCT